AGCAGACAGAAAAAAGGCAAAGCGGCAAAGAAGAAGAAGAGCAGAGTGGGTGTGTGTCAAAAAAGAACCGTATGTGTGTGAAACGTGCAGAGATGCGCAGTCAGAGGTGTGTGTGTTGGAAGAGGAAACAAGAGTGGTGTGTCAAGAAGGTGGAGTGGTTTTTGGAGTGTGGGGTGGTTCAGAGTGGGGTGGGTGTCTAGCAAGAAGAAGAAGAAAGAAGAGGAGAATTAAAGAACAGCAGAGAATAGAACAAAGAGAACAGAACTATAGCAGAAAAGGTCAAGGAAGAAAAGATAGAGAAGAGAGACCAGAGAAGACGAGTCGACATTGTTAGAAAAGGAGAAAAGACAGACAGAAATAGAGAAAGAGTAGAAATACAAGAAGAAAGAAGAAAAGAGAAGGCAGAAAGACCTGGTGCCTGGAAGAAAGAAGAAAGAAAACAGAAGAAAAAAACACAGAAAGAAAAAGAGAAAAAAGAAGAAAAAGACAAGATCAAGGAGATAGAAAGATAGATAGAAAGAAGAAGCAGAAAGAAAGACAGAAAAGAGAGAGAAAGAAAGCAGAAACCAGAGAGAAGAAGAAAAGAAGAAGATGGCAAGAAGAAGAAGCAGAAGGCCTCGGAAGAAGAAAAAAAGAAAGAAAAGAAAGAGAGAAACCAGACCACAAGACAGAAGCAAAGAAGAGAAACAAGAGAAAGAAGAAGGAAAAGAAGGAGAAGAAAGAATGGTGGTGTGGAGAAGAAGAACCAGAGAGAAAAAAGAACGGAAAAGATCAAGACAGAACCAGAAGAAAGCAGAGAAAGACAAGAACAGAAGAGACAGAAAGTAAACGGGTGGGCAGAAAGCAGAATAGAGGTGATTATATGGTGTGTGTGTGTGAAAGAAGTGGAGAAGAACAGGAAGAGAAGAAGAAAGATAAGAAGGGAGGGATAGAGTAGAGGTAGATGTGGAGAGAAAACAGAAAAGACACAAAAAAAGCAAAGAGAAGAAGAAGACAAAGAACCACAAGAAAGAGAGAAGAGAAGAGAAAAGAAGAGAAAGAAAAGACAGCAAAGAGAAAGAAAGAGAAAAGAAGATTACGAGAACAGAAGCAGAAGACCAGAAATCAGTAGCAAGAAAGAAGAAACAGAAGAAAAGCAAAAGAAAAGAAGGCAGAAGAAAAGACAGAAACAAAAAACAGAGAAGAAGAAAACACAAGAACAAAGCAAAGCAAAAGTAGATAGAAAACCAGACGCAGAAAGAAGAAAGAAAACCTCAGGGGGGCAAGAAAGAAACACAATAAGAGAAAAAAGAAAGAGAGAAGAAGAAAGAAAAGAAAGCAAGAAGAAGAAGCAGAGAAAGCAGCAGAAGAACAAGAGCAGGAAAACAGAAAACAAAGACAAAGAAGAAAGAAGAACACTAAAAGAAGAGGAAGTAAGAAGAAGACAAGATAAGAAGACATAAGAGAAGATGCAAAACATAGGAAGAAAGAAAAGAGAAATAAGAATGAGAAAATAGAAGAGACAGAACCAAGAAGAAGAAAAGAACCTAGACAAAGCCACCTAACGAAAGAACTGAAAAAAAGAGAAAGGAAAGAAAGAAAAGCAGAAGAATAACAAGAAAGAGGAGAAAAGAAGAAAACCAAGAAAAGAGAAAGAAGAAAGAGAAAAGAAGGAGAAGAGAAAAGACAGAAGAAGAAAGAAAAATAGAAATAAAAGCAGAATGAAGAACAGCAGACAAGAGAACATAAGAAGACAGAACAGAAAAGAAGAAGAAATCAAAGACAGAGAAAAGGATAGAAAAGAAAGCACTAAAAAGAAGAGAACAACAAGGCGGGGCCGGAGCGGAGAAGAAGAAAGCAAAACCAGATAAAGAAGAATCAAGAACGGAAGAAGAAAGAAGAAGATATCAGAAAAGAGGAAAAGCTTAAGAAACCACCCAGAGAGAACAAGAAAGAAGAATCAAGAAGAAAAAAGAAAGACACAGAAAGAACAAGAGAAAACAGAAAATAAAATAAAGAACAGAAAAAGCAAGGAACAGAAAGAAAGAAGAAAAGAAGAGACAAAAAGAGTAAGCAGAAAGAAAAGAAGAAAGAAAAGAAGCAGAGAAAACAAAGAACTAAGACAAGAACCACAGAAAGAAGAAGAAAAGAAGCGAGAGCAAGAGTAAAAAAGACAATAAAGAAAGAGAAAGAAAGAAGAAAAGAACAAAAGAAAGAAAAAGAGACCCAAAAGAGAAAAAGATAGAAAGGAAAGTCCAGAAGAAGAGAAGAAAAAGAAGAGAGCTAGAACAGAAAACGCATCTGAGGGGTTCTAATGTTGTATAAAATTTCGGGGAGAGCCACCCCGGCCTTCGCTCGTGCTCCGTACACGCCCCTTGGTTTTCGCCCCCTTAAGAAAATACCCTGGCGCCGCCCTGGATACAACCCCCCCCCCCCCACCCCCACCACACACACACACACACACACACATTAATTAATAAATATACATATAATATATATATATATATATATATATTTCTCGATGATATAAACGGCTACTTTCACGGAGAAAACAAACTCACAGGCATGCACGTGTGCATGCTTACGCCACCGCATGCACGCATGCACGCACACACGGTCCACGGGACGCACACTCAATGGCGCGCATCTCACACAATTACTTCTACTTCAGCTTTCTTGTTGATTTATTACAGCTGGATACGTGGCTGATGGAGGCGACCATTAGACAACACTGCACATCTGTCTCTTAGCTTGCCGGTAACACGACTAGGGCCCACCAATTACCAGATTCTGGTACATCGCGTCTGCCGAACGCTTGCGCATTAGGATATCTATACTATATATATATATATATATATATTGTAGATAGATTAAACACAAGACATCACTTTTTGCTGTTACTCAGAGTTTCACGCTTGCGCGATCATCAGACAACTTTAATGAATAATAAACCTTGTATACATTCCATAATCTATGCTATGTTGTATAGATTATGGAATGTATACAAGGTTTATTATTAAAATATTAAAATATTTATTAAAATATCAAAATTATTAAAATATTGTAAACCTTGCAAATCTGTGTATGTGATGCAAGAGTGACTTACGAAGGCTATTAGTGTATTTATTACTCCATAAAACATACACATAGACATATATACATAGACATCAAGAGTACATAATAGAGATCTCTATTATCTATATACACATCTATATACACATCATACATATCTATAGACACATCTCTATTATGTACTCTTGATAGACATACACGTAACTTACACATGTGTGTGATGAATAAAAATATATCCGACAAACATCCTCCATTCTTCCTCTTTCTTCCTATTCTTCCATCACTCTCTTCCCTCATTCTCTACTTCCTCTCCTCTTCCTCCTCCTCCGCCTCCTCCTCTATCTCCTGTCTTCATCCGCCACCACCTTCTCAACTCCTCCTCTTCCCCCTCCTCCTCCAGAAGCTTCTCACCCTCCTCTCCATCCTCTCTCCTGTACCTCTCCTCTCCTACTCCAATTACCTTCTCCTTTCCTCATCTTCCTCCCTTCTCATCCACTGACTCAACTTTCTCTCGTCCTCCACCACCAGCTTCTCCCCCTCCTCTACATCCCATTATCAAATTGAATGGCTTCTTGAATGCTTTACTACTACTGTTGTCAATAGTAATTATACTAATAACGATATTATCCGTAGTTCTTTAAGATTGATCTTGCCCTGTGTGACGATTCGCCTGTGTTAGCTATTCTGCTTAGATCCAATCTTTTCACCAAAATGGCGCCACGCATGTGTCGTACGTTTCATCCCCGGGGGGGGGGGGCACTCCATATATATTGCATGGTAGGTATGTGCGCCGCGGGAGAGACCCCCATGTTCAACCCTAACCCTAAACTTTCGTTCCAGTGCATCGCATTTTTAAGAATATCTTGTTCCAGAGCATTAAGTTTAGTTACCATTAAGATCTTACATTTTTGCCGTTCCGGAAACCCTAGTTTTTAATATTTCCGTTCCAGTGCATCGTACTTCAGAATACGTTGAAAGCCGGCCCGTGAAGGCATGCATGCAACGGTGTTGTCTGTGTGTGTGGGTGTGTGTGTGTGTGTGTTTGTGTGTGTGTGTGTGTGGTGGTGTGTGTGTGTTGTGTGTGTGCGTGTGCGTGCGTTCATCTCTCTCCGGGTCATGTTTCTCTCCTCTACATAATACAACAATATTGTTCAAGTGCTACAGCATAGATTTTAAAGCAATCATTTCCCCCCACAGTTCGGAGAACCCCTCCGTGTCCAGTTTCATGGCATGAATTTCAACGATCCTAGTTCCGGAGACCCCCATTTTCGAACATAGCCAGTTCCAGAGCATACCACATTCAACAAACATTAGTTCCAGAGACCCCATTTCAGGTCTGAGTTAGTTCCAGAGCCCCCCCCCATTTTTTATACTCGCAGTGGCACATACCTACCATAATGTGGGGTGAGTGCCCCCCCCGGGTTTCATCTCCTTGGTATATGTTGCTCCTTGGTTCCTTGCACAATTTTTTTTGTTTTGTCAAAATAGTGCCACGGCAGTGCCGTGTGCCGTGGCGGCCACTACGGCCCTGATTAGAGCGTATAAAGAAGTATATACCTTCTTTATACGCTCTTGATTACATGCATCGGTTCAGCATCCGACAATCCTGAGACGAGTAATCAAACGGCAGCGTTACGAAAGGCCGTACACGTGTTTTATGTTTACCTCGGGGTACTTGGACTGCTCCTCCATAATATCCAAATCCGCATCCCCGCTTACGATTAATCGCGTAGACGCAGACCCGTACAGCGGCCGGAGTTGACCGATCCGTTGCGCGGATCCATTGCACGCACTCGTCTCTTCTCTCTCTCTCTTCTCTCTCTCTCTCTTCTCTCTCTCTCTCTCTCTCTCTCTCTATATATATATATATATTATATATATATATATATATTATTATATATATATATAATATATAGTATATATAGTATTATAGTATATAGTATATAGTGTTAAGTATATAATATTATATATATTGTATATTATATATAGTAGTAAAGTCACACACGAACACCCGGTGTAGATAAAAACCAAGAGTCAAAGGTATAGAATAATAGTGTTTACAATTTAATTGACAAGCTTTCGAGTTACATCTCTTCATCAGCGTCAGCAGACTATTGGAATAGAATCAAATAATCAAAAACAAATACAATGCGCGTTAAAGATAATCAAAAATGATGATTCACACAATTCGCGCGTTGCCATGAATACGGACGACAAAAAAACACGCATATAATATATATATATATACACCACACAACCCGGCCACAAGGGCGGCGGGGGGGCCCGTACTTCGTCCAATTGTGTCTTAATTATATGTGCACAAATTTGAAACTGGATCTAGAATGCTGGAACTGTGATACCTGCGTATATAAAACTTCAAACGATTATTGTGGGAGGGACCAGAGACCACCTTATTGTTACTCCGTCTTTTTGACCTCCGTATATGCTGCCCCGTTTTCGAAAGGCAACTGAAATGCGCGCCGGGTCGAAAGGCAAGCTGAAATGATACCTTTTACTATAAAGCAGCTAAATCTTGTGTGAGTGTGTGTGTGTCTGTTTGACTTCGATGTTCTCCGTGATTTGTCACTCAATCGCCGGTAACTGAAATTATATTCAGAATCACCACGTCTGGGAGATGGTTCTGGCTGAGAGAAAAATTTAAAAAGTAAAAAGTAGAAAAAATTGTAAAAGTCAAAATTCAATCACGTAGGTATGTGGGAATCATTTAGCGTGTTTTCCCGTCGCCGTAGCGTATATGAGCTCGGGGAAAAAAATTTCTCCTTGCTTTTTTACTCTTTAGTATCTACTTCTGCCACTTCAGCGTTAATTTCAAAATGTGAAAAATAATTTTACTACATTCATTAAAAAAAATTGAAAAAAGTTAAAAATTGAAAAAAATTACTATTTTTTTACTATTATTAGCTCATTGACATAGTCAGATGCAGCTTGTAGAATCGCATGATCGTCCGTCCGTCCGGTCGTCCGTCCGTCCGTCCGTCCGTCAACAGTGGCACAAATCTTAAACGCTCGACGTACGGTCACGATATTCGGGTCGTGGGGGGATCGTCAAAACGAGTTGGGATGTCGAACTGGGGGTCAAAGGTCAAAGGTCAAGATGTGTAAAAGAAGGGGGAACATTCACATCTTAACTTAAGGTATAGGGAGGAAATGCAGAATTTCGGGCACAAATCTAAACGGCTCGACCTAGGCTCGTGATAGTCGGTGTATAGCATCATGGTAGGAAGAAGCCATCACTGTGCCGAAATTGGAGGTCACAGGTCAAAGGTCAATGGGGCACAGGGCAGATTTTAGACATTTTTCTGAGGACATTGGTCTGACGGAGCGATTGAAAAAACTTTTGTTTTCAGCGGTGAACCTAGCATTTTTATGGCTTTATTGAAAGGACAATGAATGTCCCTTTGCTGACATGCGAAGAGTAAGTGTCGATAACCTTTTGACCCTCAAGAGGAGGGTTAAACATGGATTTGTTGACTGTTAACAAAGGAGTGAACTGCTTTTGCTATTAGAGCCCCCTCCCCCACCCTCCCCCTTCCCTCCCCACCACCCCTCCCTCCCCGCCGCCCTTCCCCCCACCCTCCCCCACCCCTCCCCCCACCCTCCCCCTACCCTCCATCTGCGATAGTGGGCGTGTCCTAAACAATGATGTGTACGCAACTGCGTGTCTGCATATCTGCGCCTAACAAATGTGGTACTACGCACGACTGAAATTTTACGTTTATAATCGTAGCAACAGACCTCAGATGAGCCAGACGCTATGCGGCTCTTGTTATTATTTACTACTATTATTATTTATTATTATTTTCATGTTCTTTATATTATTTATATTGTTTTTTATTGTTTGGGATTGGATGGGATGGGATGGGATGGGATGGGATGGGATGGCATGGGTGGCATGGCATAGCATGACATGCGATGGATGGATGGATGGAGGGATGGATGGATGGATGGGATGGCATGAATAGCTATGTTATAGATACGATAAATAGGATTAGGATAGTAATTCCGCATAGATAGATAGATAGATAGATAGATAGATAGATAGATAGATAGATAGATAGATAGATAGATAGATTTTGCGGTATTTTCCTTTCAACCAAGTGGTCACTAACTGAGCACTTTTTCCCCTGCTCACTTATAGAATTGCGCTCTTTGTTTCTTCCCAAAATGTTTTTTTGTTTCTATTTTCTTTTCAGTTGCATGAAATATTTAACTTCAACTGTGTCACTTACATGAAGTTTATATTTTAAGGCACGATTTGGTCGTTGTACGGGTATTAGTCTGCTAGTATATACTAGTTTATATATGCCGGCACAGAAAGCAAGGTTCACTTAGGATCGCACATTCTCACAACAATTAAGGTCGCTGGCCTACCCGACAACGTAACAGCTTACTAACAATCGAACAAATTTGATACAATCTCACAAGTGAGGAAGACTTCACCTATAGCCACAGGTGCATGGAAAGACACGTTACTCTTATCAGGAATGACGAAGACGAGCCCTGGCAAGCAGTCACGTGTAATCAGTACGTGAACTTCAGCGAGGCGAGCAACGAAACAATAAAGTGTCAGGATGGCTACTGGTACGATGATACCTATGGACACACCATCGTCATGGAGGTATGCTACGCTCCCGGGGAAGGGGGGGCACTCCTGTTGTTATAAATGTACTGGGGACGTGCCGCTGGACAGGGTATATTTTCCGAACATCGTTATTGGCACAGGGTTATTTAGATACCCACCCATCAAGCTGATATTGGCTTAATATTGGCAGATATTGGTTCAATATAGGCAGATATTGGTTCAATATAGGTAGATATTGGTTCAATATAGGTAGATATTGGTCCAATATCTGCCCAATATTGGCAAAACAATATTGGGCCAATATCACCAGGCCGATATTGCCAATATCTGCCTATATTGACAGGAGGGCAGAACATAACCGAAGTGTGCAATATTGCAACAGGGTATACTTTTTAGTGCAGTATACTGGGACAGGGTGTGTTTTAGGGCGCAAAGCGGTTTGCGACAGGGTCAGGTTTTCAAGGTCTCCGAGGCACCCCCCCTCCCTACCCAGTTCCGAGGCGAGTGCCCTCCCCGGGACTACGCTGCTACATTTTTAGCATCGGAAATATAAATTCCCAGTTGAGAGGAGTAGGAATTTCGATATATGACAGGGTAATGACGAGTGAGTATACTAATACGGTTGCTTTACACACAGCTGCCACATCGGCCTCTACATAAACATACCCGACATCATCGTATGCTTGACGGGGCCATGGCTTGTACAAATTCCTATAGTGCATCGACTGCGAAACTCACAATGTGAATTTGTCTTATTATACGAACACGATTTCCCACAATCAATGCGAGATACGGGCAGGCTGCGAGACATAAATAAATACACACACAAAATCAAACATCAAACAAAATTTCCTTAGTGCGATTCGAACTTGTTCTCTCTGACCCGTTAACAATCGATGTTTCTATATTTCTTTCCATGTCTTAAAGAGCCATTAACGAGGTTACAATTAACCTAATTACGGGCTGCTGATCATGCGCACCTACCATGAATGGTAATAATACAGTACACTCTTCTATATCAATGATTGCATTGAAATACTTACACTATGCAGAAAGGCCGATACATATTACTATATGTACGTTCAATATAAGTACATTGAGTACATTCAACATGAGTGCATTGAGTTTAAATGCTGTTATTAGGGATATAAATATTTGAATGCCATAATATTGATACAATGTATTTGTTTATAAACATATAATAAATTATATTTTACAAAAGGCAAATACGGCAACTCTATAGCAGTTACCCAGCAGACAGTGTGTGTATATATATGTGTGCGTGCGTGCGTGTGTGCGTGTGTGTGCGTGCGTGCGCGCGCGCGCGTGTGTGTGTGCGTGGGCCTGTGTGTGAGTGTCATACTTTAGTCGCTTGTTCGTTTATTCAGTCGGTTGAATTAATTGCTGTCATTGATCGGAGTTGACCGCCCTATCTCCCTTCTCTCTAACACTTGCACTCTTCCCTTCCCTCTCATTTCCATCCATTTCAGGTCTGTCCACACTATGGCCAAAAGTCGTCTTCAACAATCTTGTACGCAGCATATTGACCGCCCTGCTCTTCTCTTCTTGTCAAAATCATATCCAGTCAGAAAGGTGCAAATATCACGTCCTTTCTCGATCCCACTTGATCTATCACGACATTCACTTATTCGTATCAATAGATTTTATTTTATTAACATCCGTCTCAGTGAATAATTGTATGCTGGTACGGGGTCGATGTGGTTAGGGGGGTCAGTAATTAGGGATTATTATACATATGTTCAGTTGTTATACGCGACATTGCTGCCAATCTTGATTGGATTAAGCTTAAGTAACACACCCATAGCAACAAACTGTGTCACACATGAAATTCTACTGCGAGAAAATCATGCGGCTGCTACTAGCATGGGTGTTGTAGATTCATCAACCACATGCTTACGCACTTGCTGAGCTGCCTTGATGAATCTAACTAAGGCACCTTAAGTACGGCATTCATGGGACACATACCTACGCAAGGTAGCGTACGCACCAACGATAAATTTAGGCGCAGCTCATAATTAACACTGCAGTGTTTGTTGCAGTGGGACATCGTCTGCGACAGAAGCCTCCTCGTGCAGCTATCGTCTACTACTTTCTTCGCCGGTAAACTCGTCGGTGCTCTGGTCATCGGCGTCTTGGCCGATATTTTCGGACGGAAGTGGACATTGATCGTAGCGAACCTACTGTTTATGGCGTCGGCGATCGTACAATGTTTCGCTAACAGCTACATCATGTTCGCCGTTATGCGCTTCTTTGTCGCTACATTCGCAACGGTATGAACCGACTGGTTGGTTGTCTGCCGTTATCAGAATCTATAACACGCAACGTTTTCACATTGAACACGTCAATGCATATAGCCGTTCAATGAGTAAATCTGGCGGAGAAATAAGTTGTGAAGTCTCATGTTGGCAGAGCGATATCTTCATTATTGAATTTGGAAGTATAGTGATCTATGCTAAATAAATTCGTAGAGGCTTATCACTTATCGTTGTTCTCTTCCGCTGTTTCAGGGAGGATATCTGGCTGGTTTCACGCTGATATGTGAGTCCGTGGGTCCACAGGCACGGGCGTGGGTCACTCTGCAGGACGGATGCTTTTGGGCCCTTGGCTTAATGATACTGCCACCCATCGCCTATCTTGTGCCCGACTGGAGAATTATACAGATCATCATCACTGTACCGATGAGCTTCATGTTTATCTATTTTTGGTAGGCGTGCGTAGTTAACCCCATTTTATGAAACACCCCACATTTCCGCATTTTCATTTACGGGCTGAGTCACCCATGCACGCCTAAGCATGTTACAATTACATGTTATATACATGCGCATATAAACCAATCAAGATAACAAGAATAAAACGTATACTTAAAACAGAATGCTGTACGTGTAACAGTGACATAGCGTACTACAGAACGCATTACAGCGATGGATAAACATACCTTAATTAAGTATTGTCTTTTAACTGAATTCTTTTGGTATTTACGACTGGCTTGGACACGCTATAGGTCTTGTTATAGACATAGCCCCAGGAAATTTTATTCGGATTTAGAATGGCTTTAAAATTAGGACTTGAGCTAGGTTTAGGATAAAAAATCATTGTTCTGCCACGCCCACATAACTGTGTTTTTAACCTACTGTTTATAGTATATCATTAATTGCACTTATAGCTTATTACCAGAATCGATGCACTGGCTTATAGCAAACAATCGGACCGATGAAGCCAAGGCCATTCTCACAAAAGCAGCAAAAATGAACGGCACAGAAATTTCAACTGCAGGTGCGTATTATGTGTTAAGCTGGGAATATGGTTAACATGCGCGATTTTTCCCCGTAAGCAGACATGCTAAACACTACACTTTCTATACAGACATATCATAATTTGGCATGCAAAGACTCGTATGCTAAATACTGATATACCTGGCACGTTACCGTTATACGTTTGGTAATTAATAGGGATTGAGTTGCGTCTTACAACGTTGATTCTATTGATTCTATTTTTACATGCAATGACATATTCGATCGTTGCTATGTAGGTTAGTGCTAGCCTCATTAGTTTAATTGATTATTATGTAAATTTTTCAGACTTGACGCCGATTACGCACGACGAGGATAAGGGACGGAAATACAGTCTTATAGACGTTTACAAAACCCCCGGGCTTAGAGTTCTGGGGACAATTTTATTCTTCATTTGGTAATGTTGTTAAATGATCAAACCCCTAGCTATGAACATTTGCTGAAGCAACAGATAGATGACCACCTCGTTGTTTCGTGAAATCGTATAATATTAATTATTTGTATCAAGAGAAATTGTATCGCCGCTTAGCGCGTGGTGTGTGCGCGCGCGTGGGTACGTGTATCCATCCGTGCACGCGTATGTGTGTGCAGAATTTGTGCCACAGTTTAGCTTTAAACGCATGCAATGGTTCTTGATGATTATGATCATTTACAGGACGGCTGATAGCATGGTATACTATGGTCTTACTCTTGGCCTGCAGAACCAATCCGGCAATATCTACATAAACGGCTTCTTGACCGGAGTCGTTGAAATACCAGCTATTCTGATCGCTATTCTGGCCGCTGGAAGGTAGGAATCAATCGGATTATCGCTCCACTCGGTGGCATATAATATGTAAGCTTGCACGCACGATGCAATACGTAACTGCACGTCTGCTTTCATAATTATACGGTAATTTGTCACTCGTAAGTGCAAGTCGTCATGTATTATCGCTGTCTCTATGTACACCATGGCGTCATCCCCGGGCGCCGTCATCCCGCGATGTTTACTGATAGTTTCCCGTTCGTTGTGCGCCGCTGCGACGTTATGACAGGTTTGGACGGATAAAATCGCTGTCGTTCTTCCACGTCTGCTCCGGAATAGCGATGATCGTACTCTACTTCACTCCACTGAAAACAGGTAAGGAGGTCCAGCGAAGTCCAGCGAAACGAAGCGAACATACCCCAGTCTCAATGTTGCTTGCTCGAGCAACGAAGTCCAGCAAAGTCCAGCGAAACGAAGCGAACATACCCCAGTCTCAATGTTGCTTGCTCGAGCAACGAAGCCCAGCGAAATCAAGCGAACATGCCCCTGCTCTGTATTTCACTTGCTCGCGCAGCCAAGGCGCGCAAGTTTAATAGCTCTTTTATATCGTTATATATAACCCTCCTTGATATCTATTTCATATCTAACCCCCCTTGATATCTATTTCATATCTAACCCCCCTTGATATCTAATTTATATCGATCCGCCCCCCTTTATATCTCTTTTATATCACGACATTAATGACATTAAAGTTGGGAACGCTCCTATTGGAGCATCACCCGCCACGTCGATGGAAATTAACTACGTTGATTGTGGTGACACACAATGTAGACGTCAGTGTCACCCGCCTCGGCAGGACACCCCGGCACATTCCATCCCAAATTTCCCACATCGCTTTCAGCTCTATAGTTCCTATAGGCGTAATGATGGAAAGGAAAAACTGTGGGTCCGAACTGTAGGCCTGTTGAAACAGCTTCTAATCCAGCGAGTCTGTCCAGATGGTAGGTTTTGCTCTGTATACAAAAATAGACTGGAGTCGCATGTCCTTCTCCGTTTATAAATACTCTCTGCATTCAGCTCCACCTAAGCGGAAACATTATATAAGTGTTCGGTTAGTGGGAGAGAGGTAATTAAGTGACCAAGGAAGGTCACGTGAGCCGGCGGATTTGTAGGGCTTAACGTACGCGTAGCGAGAACTAACAGCGTAACTCGCAAACTACTGTTTATTGGTTGCAGCTGCGGGAACAGATTTGGGTTGGCTCAAGCAAACGCTCGTCCTCACTGGAAAATGTATGATATTTGCGGCCTTCCGTGTGCTGTATATCTACACTGCAGAGTTGTATCCGACAGTCGTAAGGTGGGCCTATGCATATATCAGGGCCATAAACAACTCAGTTTGCATATATAGAGAGCCAAAGCCACACGCATTTTGAGTTCTGTAGAGTTGATCGCGGGCAAATCGTCGTTGTTAATTGCTGCCAAAGTCTAAAGGACCACAGCCATTCTGTCCCTCTTCCCCTCTAGATATGGCCCGGCACTCGTAATGTTGTTGGCATTATACATCAGCAGTAAATATGGACAGTAAGACATAAAATCTACATATCTTTCGTTGCCGTTGGTCGGCGCTTGAGTCGGGCAAGGGAAGTAGAGTATATATCTATCCCAAAACATGTGATTGATTATAGGGTCAAGTGTGTCTTTGAGCATACCTACTATCCGCGAACAGTAATCATACTTTGTTGGAATTGCGTATTTAAAATGGAGAGGAGGTCATAGTCAGAAGGAATTGTCTTTGAAAAATGTAAAACTATTTTCTCGCCTATATAATAAGAAGCAGGCCAATATTCAGTTGTGTTGAAGTCGTCGTGTGAATAGTCTAACGCCGAATACTGAGATCTGTGGCTATCTTAATTTTCCTTTCTTTCCTTTCTTAACTGTAACGACCAGGTAAATATTTCTCACCCGTAGGAACACGGGGCTGGGCATGTCATCCAGCGCTGCCCGTATAGGTGGCATGATTGCACCAATGACTATTGCGCTGGTAAGCGAATTTTTCTCGGAATTAACAAGGCTACGTACGCGCAAGCGATTCAAACAGTAAGAAAGTCCAATGTCCCGCTGTCCGATTCAAATCCTAGCTGCTTGGAACATTTGATTACATATATGATATAGAATATTTTATTTACACAAAGAAACATTTTATCTTCGCAAACAAACTTGCTTCTCAAACATAAACTTTTACCCGACGCTTCCGTTTTCAGCAACGCCATTACCCGTGGGTACAGCCAGTTCTCTTCGGGGGCATAGCGTTTGTGTGCGCCATTGTGAGCCTCTTCTTCCCCGAGTCGAAAGACAAGGGCCTGTCGGAGACATTGGAGGAATGGGCTGACTGGAAGGCCGGCAGGCTATCAGTTGGCAACGGCGGTGACGGGGGAACAAAAGAGCTCGGCGAAGAAATGAAACAGATGGTTTCCTAATGCCAGCTTGTCTGGGCGAATCTTATCACGGAAACTTACGCAAATCTTATGTGATTTGCTCGGTAGCGTTTCCAATATTAGTGCCAGTATCTGTCGGCTTATTTACATTGGGTATGAAATCAAGAGCGTATAAAGAAAGCATACTTTTTTAAACGCTCTTAAAGGCTTTTTTATACCAAACCATTAAGAGCCTTCTTTATACGCTATTGATGAAATGCATTGAAAATGATTTATATACAATATATGTAGGGGAAAGTGGTGCAAAATGGCCCCTTTGGGTAATATGGCTCCCTACCTCTTGAATATCCCCTTGAATGTCCCTTGAATATCCCTTGAATATCCCTTGAATATCCTTTAAATATCCTACCCCTTGAATATCCTACCCCTTGAATATCCTACCCTTGAATATCCTACCCTTGAATATCCTAGCCTACCCTTGAATATCCTACCCTTGCCCCCTTGAATAGCCTACCCTTGAATATCCTCCTATCCTACCCTTGAATATCCTACCCTTGAATATCCTA